TCAAGGACTGGGCAGAGGCTCTTCTTGAGGATAGCAATAGTAGTAATAGCCCCCTTCATAATCATCTTCTGGAGGATAACTGCTATCAACTCTGACGCTGGTAAGCTCTTCCTTGCCACTTTTGCCACTCTCTGCAGCCGCCATTTCTCATAGACGTGTACAAGTATTCATAATACTTCCTGATAGACCTGCAGGTAAAAACGAAAGGTTTAAGAACCTTATCTTAAGCTACGAGGATAACTGCATCACCAGCGACCAACTGTTCCTATCGTATATTTCATCTTAAGAATCAGTTCCGGAGTAAGAAGGGTTGAAACCAAAATACAGAAAGATTCAGACTGTCTGTGATTATGTGAGAAGAAAGGTCAAGAGGTCTTCGATTTCCGAAAGAAAAGGGCTTACCTTTTTTCTTTAGCTTAAAAATTGATTACCAATTATATCTCTTTTTAACAACTAGCCAATCTGCTCAAGTGGCAGATAAAGTTATCCAACAGATAAGGCTCTACCTAATGGGTAAGTGTTATCAAAACCTACTGCGCTCTTCACTCTGGATGAATATTTAATATGCAATCCAAACTTCGAACAACCTAGGTCTGACGAATAACGACACTTCGCAGTACTCCATCCCAAGAAAAACATCAAAACCATTAACCATCAACGAATGATTACGGTTTGCGATTTTGAAACGTGACGTTATACATACCAAGCAAACACAAAGAAAGAAATCATCATGAGAAGTAGAAAGACCCCTGCTGCCACGAAGGTTGTGGCAATAATGGAAAGGCCACCTTCTTTTTGTTCTTTCTTTTTGTCGTTTGCTTTGTTGGCACTTATTATTTCGCTATTGCTTTTTCTGTGAGCCAGGGACAAACCAGTCCAGCGACTATCAGATCCTTGTATGGTAAGAGGCTTTGGGGCTATATTAGACTGCATACTGTACCTGGGATCTTCAGGGCCATGTCGTGCGGAAATCTTTTCTTTCGAAGGCAAAAGGACAAGAGGTGTACCAGAGTCCCTGTCAATGAAACGTTCAGCCTCAAGATGTCGAGGCTCGCCGGATCCCACGTTGGTTTCACCAGATCTCACTTTGTCGTTAGGAGTACTAACCTTAAACAAGTAAATATCAAACATAGATACTATATCTTGTCACAACCAGAGCATCAAAATAAGAAAAGTTTAACAAAACACTATACACAAATAAAGAGCCAAAAAGATTTCCACAGGCTGTCATGCAGGTGATAAAGTAGAACGATGCTCCACCGAAATCTTCCAGAACACTGCATTGGTGAGCCACAACATACGGAACATGGGTTTGTGCCCCAGAAGGGTAAATGCTATGGGAAGTAGCAACACTTCGAGTAGACTCGTGACACAGAAGCTGGCATAAGCTCTGAGAGGACGAACCTTAAGGCTCGTAAACTGACCTTACCTTTTTTAATTTTCTTTGATCGTTTTAGTAGGTTCTCCACTCTCCTCAAGATATTCTTTCCGATGTTAAACGATTTCTTCAATTTAGCTGTAAGGGTTGGTCCTCCGCTCTCGGTAATCCCATCACGGGTTGATGTTTCTGCACTGGTATCTTGGCCAGTTTTAGTATAATCACCTTTGCTATCATGGAGCCTGTTTTGAAGAGGCTTCAATGAAAAAACGGGAAAGCTACCTGTCCCTTTAAGACTTGTTGATGGTAGAGAATTTCCTACAGATAAAACAAACGTATGCCAGGATTGTCGTTACAAAAG